CCTTTAAATTTAGTGACTTTTGTGATGTGTAAAAGCGCAGCATTTTGCAAAAAACACTCAATTTTCATAACAAAATTTCCTCGAACTCCCATTCATACGATTTTATCGTTTCGTCTTGCTCAAAGGTATTTTTAATGCGAAATGTATAATTAATTAATGTAAATTCTCGGAAATATCATATTTCAACCTACATATCAGATGTTTCGTTAATAAATTTATTTAACGAGTTCTATAACGTGTATTTCCCATTACAGATTCCGATCTAGATTTATATAAGAAAAACGTTATTTATTCCTAACGAATATTTAAAATTTACCGTACCTCCAGCATTATTCAATTAAACCTTGATTGTTCAACAGCTGCTGGAAATACAATAGAAATTCAGTGGAGATGACCATTACATTTCTTATAGAGTAAATCAAATCTCACCTACAACCAATTCAATCGAATTCAGTCATCTTAAATGGTCGACAATCGCAGCTCAAACGACTTTTACACATCAGTAATGCACTGAAATATACCCACTCAACTTTAAGCTAGGCTCTATTAGTATCTAAAAAGGGAATTTTAAAGTAGCTATGAATGAAATGTCTCATTGTATTCCAGCAAATTGAGCGAGTCGTCTCGTTGAGCGAATGGCTCGGTGTATAAGCGACCGGCGTACGGACGTGTATCCAAGTTGCCGGCAGCGTTTTCTCCAATGATTGACGCAATCGACAATTGGGAACGTATCCGATTCGCGACTTAGTTGTAATATCGGTAGTTCTATCGCTCTTAATGATCGCGTAAATGTTTTGCTATTAATTTATCTATTTAATTAATTTATTAATCGGAAAAAGGTCAGGAAAATCACGACTCCTATGTGCTAACGATGCCGAGGTATCCGTGGCGTTCGTGCAATAGAGGACTATTAATTACAATTTTGTCATTAATTTTGAAATTCGAGATAAAATCGCGAAAAAGCTGCTGGATGAAAAAAAATGCGAAATATGAGCGATTTCGACAGAGAAAAAGTCGATAATTAGCCGTGAATTTTTTAAAGCATTATATATTAGCGATTTGCATAATTATAAGTTAATATTCGAATAAAGCCTCGATAATTATAATTAAACATATTCGAAGACAAGTAAAAAGCCTAATCCATTATCGTGCTATTAGAAACGCGTAATTATTGCGCAACATCGATCCACATTTCCATTTTTAATCGCTCGTTCAAAACGCTTATAAGCTAGAAAAAAAAAGTATTGTAACCGCAAGTGAACATGATGGACGTCGAAACGACCGAAACGGGCAACGCCGTATTATTAGATAGAAAGCTGCCTATTTCGTAAAAATGTCTCAATTTGCTCCTATGAAAAAATATTTAAGTGTTATGTTTGAGCCATCAGAATAAATAACCATACGCAGAGACGAAAATGTAATAGTTTTGTGGTCGAATTTCGTGATGGAATAATTCAGAAGAACTAACAAAAATTATACAGGACAAAACTTGTTATTAATTAATTAGGTAGGTACTACCTAATTTATTTTTTTTGTGCTATAGTTTTCACATCATCTCGGTTTATATGAATGTTTAATTTTAATTAGATCAACCGGCCGCATTAATATAATACATTATACATGGGTCGTAAATTCGTCGCGGCGCAAAAGATGAAAAACGGATTATTGCCAAATGAGCCGCTGCAAATATTTGCGTTTCGGTGAGGTTTTAATCGAAAAACAAAAACGGATTTCGCCGCCTCGCGTGGCTCCGCAAATAAAATAAAAGCTTTGCGTGAAATAAGAACGAGAAAAGGAGAAGAAAGACGCGGTGGCGGCTTTATCGCTCAAATTGTAAATCCTTCGCGGCTTTACGGATTCTAATCTCGCGGGAATTGAGCAATAAAATTTAAATTAATTTTTAATTCTTACACAAACGCTGCTGCTCAAATAAAGCGAATACGCATGTTTCGTAACTACAATGGAAAAAAAGTTAACCAAAAAGAAATTTTTAAATTCATTTATACACCTACAATTTTGTACTCTTTGTGTGTTTCATTGTAAAACGAAACCCGGCTATCAAACGATCTAATAGAGTTCAGATTTCAACATCTAACATCGTCTAATAGGTACCAATTAATAGCAATTTCGTGAAAATGAGGTTTGATTGGTGGTATCTCTTTCTTACGCTGGCTATTAAGCGCTTTCCTTAAATATATCACGAGAGTCTCTTCTTGGCTTTTTTTTTATTTCTACAACACAGTTCCCATAACCTTCACGAAATTTTTATTAATAAGGTTAACATTTTCGTTTCTGCGTTTCGTGTAAAAAGTGGGTTGAGCGATCAATTTCGTCGGTGTCATCATTTAAACTTTAAATCCTTGGTAATATTAAAAAAATAAATGTTAGGTAAGTAAAATAATTAATTAACCTTTTGATTGAAAATATGTAAAATATTTTTGCAATCCATAAATTACAAACTTTTAAAGAAAAAAAACACAAAATTGATACTACAGGGTGATTTTGAATTACCTTATATTTGAAAATGGGCGATAAAGTGCCTACATAAACGATAAAAACGAATATATTAAAAATTAATTTCCATTATTTCCTATATCGTTTTGTTTACTGAGATGCCCATAAGTACACATTAAATCCAAAATATACTCAATTCATAAAAAATACATTTTAATAATCGTATTATTAATACAATACAAAAACATGCGTGGGTAAATCTTTTTTGTACACGAAGGAATATATTGATTACAAATTGTTTATTTAAATAATAAACGGAGTTATTTTGATTTAATGCGTTTTTTTTATTATTGCGATGAACAAAAACACTTTTAAAAATTAGTAATGCTTTATAAAATTAATCTTTTATAATAATGCATTGTCGTGGGGCAAATTAATTTTATGTGATCTTATAAGGGATTGTTAAAGCTGCATAAAAATTTATATCATATACAGGATGTCCCGTCCAAAAATAATTTTGATAAGTGAATCAGCACTTTCTTCCATATGTATTTTTTAATTATTTTATAACTCTATTATATTTGTAGTAAGTATAAACAAAATTTACTTAGTTTAAGTAAGCAAGTTCTTAAGTAACACATTGTGCACTATTCGCACAATTTTAATGCTTGCTATGCGCTTAAATGCGTTTAAATGAATAAAGCATTGTTTGAAACTATTTCTCTCATTTATTGAAACAGTTATTTGAATGAAAACAGTAAATAAATTGTTCCCAATTCACAATAGAAACTAAAATGTTTTCTTACTTGCACATGAACATAATAAGATTTTCCTTCGATAAAATCGGAAGAAAATCGCGATAATCATACCTTTAAGATAGGCAATAAATTGTTTTTCTCTTCTATATTATGTGCCAGGTATGCCAGATATTTGAGTCACACACCACATGCAATAATTAACAATGTTCGTAATCGAGATGTGGTTTTCTAATAATTTTTTTGTTCCGACAAAAAAACGCGATTCGGTAATGAATAGGGCACGAAGGAATTTATTTTCGTAATAATATTATTTTTGTAGAAATATCGCCGGCATTCGAGCGATTTCAAAGGACAATGTTAATTTTTCATCGAATAACATTCCTTTAAATATTTTGTCGGAGCGATGTAAAATAAAAAAAATCGCAAATATGATAATAATCCCGTGAAGGTCCGAATGTGAAAAACAACTAAAACGTCTGAACAGTACTGACCAAAATAATAGAAATAAAATTTCCATATAAATCCGCGCCAGAGTGAATTCGAAATAGTTGAAATTACGCCAAGAGGAGCATAATATTTTTCCGGGGAACAATTGCTAGACTACCATTTATTTCTAGAATAAAATTGATTCGAATATTTTAAATAGTACTCGTACTTACAGAGATATTTCTATTTTTTATTTTCATTGGAGATAAAATGATTCCTTTTTGAACCAACTTTGATCGAATTTTGTAATGGATTCTTTATTATTTTCTTGATTATTTGCATAATCTACTTTTCGATTTGTGGAGTACCTACACATTGTTTTTTTTTCAAATTTTGTTTAAATTAACAAAAATTTTAAGTGGTTCGCTCGATTAGCAAAAATCTCGCCAGCAAAATAATTCATATTTACAAAACAACAAGTTGTTTCCAATATAGCAACAAGAAATATTTATCGAAAAAAAATTATTTTATAAGCAAAGTCGGCGATTTCCACTCCACGTTGTGCTTATGGTGGGCAAAAATTTTATAATGTGTGGATACATGTTTAATAAATATTGAAACATTCAAAAAATAAGTAGCTCAGCTACAGTTATGTCAAGAAACTACGAGAAACTGTTAAATCGGTCAAATTTCGGCGTGTTTTTCGGACGGTTCCGGAAGATTCCACCAAATTGAAAATATTTTTTCAAGTGCACAATTTTTCGGATTTCTACGATAACCCAGAAAAAAATTTCACCCAAAAAATACACTCAATTCAATTAATCATACCATTTCGTCACGTAGTAGCAGGATAAAAATTTCTTCCAGGAGTAAATTTTATTTGTTACCAGTAAGTAGATACTATACAAAAGACGTTTGGGAGAATGTTTATGTTGATTAATTATTAATTCCATAGATGTAGATGGTAAAGTACAAAATTAATTATTATAATGTAATTAATAAATGTTAGTTATTAGCTAAAATAGTTTAAAAAGCGTTTGCAGATTAGGTATTATTTACTGGTGTATTAGAGAATTAATTGCTGATGGTATTGCAATTATTGATACTTAATTTGATATAGGTGTACCTGTATGTGAGTTTAAATTAATGGTTATTAATTAATTAATTGGGTATATTAAAAATGGTTTTTAAAATGCAATCCAAAGTTTGGGGAATTTCTTGATGTGTTGCTTGGAATAAATTGGGGCACTAATAATGAATAAGTTATTTAGAAAATACTTTAGTAAAAGTATTAGATAGATTGTTAACTAAAATTTCTTATAATAATTTCGTTTTTGTTTAGATATATTAAATAATTCTAACCTTACAAAGTCCCTGATGATAAACACTCCTCAGGTCATCCCAGCGTCCACTTCTCAGTAAAAATGTTTGAAATCAACAAAATCCGGCAAAATCACAATATACAAATCACACAACAAAATAAATAAGTTTCACGAAAACCGCGACAAATCCAAAAAAAAACCAAAATAATCGGCAAAAAAATCCACAATGCACGCGACAAGAACCTCGACCGGCGTCCGAAAGAAAACCCTCCCGAACGGACGGCTCGCTAGCGAACAAAAAAAAAACCAAAACAGTATTGTCAAAAGATAGAAGCGTCGTGCCGTCGTCGTCGGGGCGCCGCAACGTGCATCAACGAAAGTCGTTTCAGCGACTGAATCGTCCGTTCAGGAACTCCCTCCGGCGCGCCGCTCGGCCCCCCACCGCATCGCTCACGAAATTTCCGTCGGGGATTGGTCGCCGCCGTGAATGGGGTACAATCCCGCGCAGAAAACGGAAAGGATCTCTCGCGAAATCCTCGGCCGGATGGGAGCCGAATCTCCTGCGAAGGGGGTTCGGAGCCGCGCGCGATTCGGTTTCGCTCGAACGCGGAATTCGCGGTCCCTTTTTCCGGCGGACTGTACGCGTATCAACAGGCTATTTTCGATTCGAATCGAAGGCATGCTCGGTTTTGTTTTGCGGTTTCGTCGGGATGATTTGTTTGTTGTTAGGAGAATAGGAGAATATTCTCCGGGTTTAATTGTATAATGAGATAATTCAATTATTATAGTGAATCATGCTGTATATTTAAGTTGATTTTTTCAGATGGGAACGGAGAAATTAATATTTGAATACGCTATAGGTTTTTAACTTTAGTTACACAATCTGTAATTTGGAAATATATTAGGAACTTTAATGTTTTCTTTATTTTTACAAATTTTTCACATTTTTTTGTGCCATGCAGTATTAAATTTTTAATTGTTCCATGAAAAAGTAGATCATTTTGATAGGTACTATTTCAATAAAATGTTGAACTACCCTTTGTATACAGTTGATGCAAAACAAATATCAATGCACATCAGTACTGGTCGTCATATTTTCCAAGCATTGTGTCCAACTTTTAAAAATAAATATACAAAATAGATTAATAAGCTTAATACATGCAGAATTTAATTTAATATTAACAAGCGATGATAGAAAATGTTAAAAAGCAGATTTAAATCACACAAAAAATGTATATTATCAAAATTCAACTTTTGTATATAAAATTATTATTATTTTCTTATAGTAGGTTGGTAGGCACTGACTGTCAAATTGCATAGTTGCCGTTATTGTCATCTGATCGGTACTTTTAATTTTCAATTTTTTCTTCTTCTAAACTACTAAAGGCTATTTAGCCGAATAATCAAGAAATAAGAATTTTTCGCGCAGTTTTCTATCTTTTCCATGCACATATTATAGAAATTACACAATTTGAGCTCTATATAAGTAATTCAGATTCAGAAGTTTTCTCAGAAATTACACTATGTACTCTTTTAAGTGTCGAGTACACTAAATTTTTTCTCGCACTGTTAAATATATTTCAGAGATGAATGATAAAGGGATGTGTTGATTAATTATAGTGTCCCCTGAATACATCCGCTGTTTAGAAACGTGAAGAAGGTATACCCCTAATTTTCAATTTGTTCTTGTCATTTTGCCATTTGACAATTTTATAAAATTCTTATATTTTGTAAACTCTATAAAAGTTCGGCAACACTGCCTACTTGTGACGTAGTAAATTATAGGTGACGTGCATTGATACTTGTTTTGCACCAAACTGTATATAATTATATCATCCAATATATGAATTACCAAGTAAAAAATTCAATTAGGTACCTATACTAATATTTTATATTGATTACCTCTAGTTTTTTCAAATTTAATTCTTTCAATTCTTCAAAACATTCATAATTTTCATTTTTACGAGCGACAGCATTCCGTGCACGAGATTTATATTCCTCCAAATTTTAGCATTTTTTGCCGGTTGTCACACAATTCGAGCCGATTTATAATTTTTTTAGTAAACAAATCCTTTCTCGCCGAAAACCCCTTTTGCCCCATCGGCCCGGGCGCACAATGCGCCGCGATTCCCATTTTCCCAAGAAAACAATTTTAAACGCCGTAATTTCGAATCCTTTCCATTCCACCCTTTTTTTCCACCCGGCCAGCTGTCGCCCGTGCAATCACACGAAAACGAAAACCAAAATAGAAAAAAAGCGGACCATTTGCATTTTTTTACCTGTCGCCGCGTCGCCGCTTCCGATTTTTTTTTCTTTTCTGCGTTTCGAGAAAAAGGGGTTGGAAGACTCGAATTACGCGCCAGGTAGAGGCAGAAATGTGTGCGACATACTTATACTTTCTTGCAACAATATAGCACGTCATGCCGAGTGTGCAATGCGTATATGTGCGTGCAGCGGTCGGGTTAATGCTTCTTCCTTTTTTTTTCTATACTCGCTTACGTGCATTTTTCGAAGGGGTTTGTTTCTTTTGAGGAATGTGTGAGAAATTTTCGTAAAAAAAGGGTTAGTTAGAGTTCGGTTTGGGTTAGAAATGGATTTTATTCCGTGAACCGTACATCATGAGCTTTTGTGTTTTATAATCCGTTCCTTTAGAGACTTATTGAGGCGCATTTTTACACTAAAATTTGCTCTAATTAATAGTTTTTAGAACTTTCAGGAATAGCGAGGATGTTAATCAAAAATTTTATCTAATTGGATAATATAGGCAGGTACGAATTTGGTAGTACTAATTAGATAGTTCTCTTTGTGGATTGAAGTGTTTTCAGCATGAGAAATAAATAGATGAAGGTAAATTTAATTTAATTTAAATAAAGTAATAAGTATTCTTGTAATATTTTACTAACACATTTAATTCAATTTCAAATAATTCAATATAGGTGCATGACATTTCTCCCTAATTTATCATAAATAGCTATAATATACCCAAAAAAAATTCAGAAGGGTCACTTAAAAAAAATTTTCCCACAAAATATACCCGCTCATAAAAAGCGAAATTTCAAAAGTGCATTTACAGTAGATTTTCTCACTTTTTTAGAGAACATCTCGACGATCTGCAATAAAAAACCGTCCCTATTTACTCGAAGCTGACCTCTTTATCCTTATCCCATTATCGCTTTAAAGTGGCCTTTTCCTCGGCGATAATCTGCCGAAATTCCGATAGTTCCTGTCGATGGGTCAATGGCGGGCCGTCCCCTTTTGTGGCCACACGCTGAGCGGTGTTTATGTCTATTTGTCACCTAAGTGAAAGGGCCGTTTAAATGCATTTAAATAGGTACGCTCAAGGGTGGACAGTGCGGATCGCTTCCTTGTTATCTTATTTATATTTATTGCGGCTAGGGAGGTTTTTTTTCTGATGCGGCGGTGAAAAAAATCTTCCAAGACCGTGCGAGGTAATTGGGCTGATTTTTTTTGTGTTTGTTTGGGGCAATTTTACGGTTGATGTGAATTTTTTGGACGAATGTGTCCAACAAATTTTGCTCTTAATTTGAGTGTAATAAATATAGGGCTTTTCGAATGTCCCTCTATAGTTAGATACAAGTTAAATTTAGTAAAGAACAGCTTGAATCAAAATGTGATTTGTTTATTAATTCGGTACATGTATTTAGTATAGGTATAAATAAAAGATGGTATAGGAATATACCGAGGAAATGCCTCTAAAATATTTTTTATAATTTTTTTGGGAATTGGAAAAGTCGATGTACCTATATTATAGGTCTTCAGATGTATTTAGTTTATATATTCATTCAAAAAATAATTATTGATGCTGATGGTTATAATTTTTAATGGTTCTATTATAAAAAATGTTGGTACTAAAAATATAAGAATAAATAAAGAATAAATAAAGAACTAAAATAAATCTTTTACGGAGATATTCTTAAAAAAACATTTTTTATATTTACCCCATTCGTTTCAGAAATTCTTATCTAGGTATAGGTATACTGATGTGTGAGAAAATTACTTCTTTTTAATAAAATATTAAATTTCTGGTATTTTTCTGTAAAAAATTCTACAAGAATAAGTAAAAAATATGTAGTTATTATAGGATATCAGTTACAATTTCTTTCCTAAAATATCGAATTTCTTCACGCTTCCTACCAGAACCCAGAAATGCACCCTTTTCACAACATACGCGTTATCGAAGTAAATTAGGGTGTTTTCTCACAATAAAACCCTTTCATCAATAAAATATCAAATACCTACCAATCTTATACCTCTTATAAAAAATTCTTTTCTCACATAAACTTATTATTTTTTTTGTAACGAATCATTCCAACAGCGAATTGAAATTAGCCAAAAAAATGCAACCTGTATACGATTTCTAATTAAAAATCGATTCGTTTTATCGGCCAATCGAATCAAACTAGCGTAGGAACTGGAAAAGTTCGATCAACGATTGTCCTTGTAACTTAAATATGTAATTGATAAATGATGTGTCACATAGTGTCGTAAAATGTTCAACGAGTCATAAATTTCAATTAAGATGTAAAACATTTTACAAATAATATAGCGTATAGGACAGTTTATTCAATCGTCGGTAGAATGCCAGTAATACCAGTAGAACATTTATTGTTCTTATATTTTCTTTGTGGATGTACAGTTTATATGAATACACCGGATTAATTATCTGGTTTGACCAGTTGATACTTGATGGTATTAAAATGAGGTGTAAGGGGTTGAGGGGTTTTCGAATACAAGTTTTCCGATTCCCTGGTATTCTGTGAGAATTTTTTGCCCATTACAAGCGTTATATCCAGTAACAAAAATTAACATATTTTAAGAATTTGATATCGTAGAGTGTATTTGCAATTGAAAGATGTCAATCAAGTTAAGGGTTCGAAATATCACCCCTTCTGATGTAAACGATACTACTTTATTATTACCTAGTATTATTAATATTTTTCTGGTATATTATAATATTGAAATTTTATATTAAATTTGTATATGAATGAATATCACCGGATATAACGTTCACATGAAAATGTATAACATACAAATTTTAATCTTTTCTTCTAATTTCTCCATAAATAATTTTATTGGAAAATTAAATAAATAATCTAAAACATCATTTACATTATCGATTTTTTTCCTTAACAATCATTTTGCCAGAAGAAAAAAAAAATAAATACCTTTACTATCTGCACTAGACTGAAAACGTATGTGACTTTTAAAAGAAAAAAGCTCTCCCATAAGATCAAATTTCCGCAGATAATAAAGCCATTCCGAGCAGTCTTTATTGTTTAAATGGAATTCAATAAAAATCATTATCTGCACAATTACGTATCAAGCAGAATTTGTTTATAAAATAAATTGTTTAGACTT